GGAAGTCTATATGGACCTGCCGTTGGGATATCATCGTAAGGGGGGGCCTTCTAGCTCGTCCACTAAACTAGCTTGTAAGCTCCATAAATTCATATATGGTCTTAAACAAGCCTCAAGACAATGGTATTCAAAGTTTTCTCAGTCCCTTATCACCTTTGGTTTTAAACAATCCAAGTCTAATTATTCTTTGTTTACCAAGGGCTCGGGTGCCTCTTTTGTTGCTCTCTTACTCTATGTTGATGATATAATCATCACTGGTCCATCTTCCGATGTTATTGCCTCTACCAAACGGTACTTGAGTAGCCAATTCAAACTTAAGGATCTTGGTCCGCTTAAGTATTTCCTTGGCTTAGAGATTGCTCATTCTTCCAAAGGAATTCTTCTCACACAAAGGTACTATACTCTACAATTACTCAAGGACTCTGGTCTTTTGGCTGCCAAACCAGTCAGTGTTCCCACGGATCCCACTGCCAAACTTTTTGCTTCTGATGGTGCCCTCTTAATTGATCTAACTCAGTATAGGCATTTAATTGGTAGGCTATTGTATTTGACACTTACTCGGCCTGATATCACGTTCGCCGTACACAAGTTGAGTCAGTTTTTAGCTCAACCACGCGAACCTCATCTACAGGCTGCTCATTATCTTCTCCGTTACCTGAAGTCATGTCCTGGTCAGGGCTTGTTTTTCTCAACATCATCTTCTGTTCAACTTAAAGCTTTTGCAGACGCTGACTGGGGTTCTTGCCTTGATTCACGGAAGTCTACCACTGGATTTTGTGTTTTCTTGGGGGATTCGTTGATCTCATAGAAGTCCAAGAAGCAATCCACTGTGTCGCGCTCATTAGCTGAGGCAGAGTATCGAGCATTAGCAGCTACCACCAGTGAACTTGTTTGGTTATAACAATTGCTCCAGGATTTCGGTATCATTTCCTCTGGTCCTGTTCTCTTATTTTGTGATAATCAAGCTGCTGTTCATATTGCTAACAACCCCACATTTCATGAACGCACCAAACACATTGAAATAGATTGTCACTTTGTTCGTGACCGCGTTGTTGATGGTTCTATCAAGCTCCTGCCCATCAGAACACATCTTCAGCTGGCTGATGTCTTCACCAAACCACTGCCTGCTTCCACTCTTTTTCCACTTCTTTCCAAGATGGCTGTCAAGAATGTTTACAGCCCATCTGGAGGGGGAGTAGTAGAATAGCTGAGTCAGCTTGTAATTAATCAGTTTTAGTTCCAATTAGTTGAGATTAGCTGTACAAGTTGTTAGTTAGTTATAACTTATCTTCACAACTTGCGTACTAGTATATAAACTTGTTACTGTATCATTTCTTGAATACACAAGAATTCCAGATTATTTTTCCAGTCGTTTTCTTTCCTTTCTGTCGTTTCCTTGAGATTTTCTCTTCTAACAAGAGGAAGAGATGATCTAGTTTTGAGCTCGGTCTAGATTTTGGTGGTGCTTTATGGTTGCTTGATATGGTAGAACTTGCAGTGAAAGCTGGGGTTAGTGAGGTATTTAAGAAGAAATGTAGAGGGTCTACATACGCTCTCATAGTGGAAGTTACAAAAAATAAACATGGTGATTTCTTCAAGAGTATGAGAATTAGTAGAGGTATAGTAAAAAATATCATTGTTGAGATGAATTCAAATGTAAAAGCTGGAGCAATCTTCAATCTTGCCTAGCTAGCATTCTTAGGAACACGGAGAAGACATGTTTGAGTAGGGGGACAAAGGTTGATAGAGTTGAAGGTTAGCTCAACAGAGATAATATTAAGAGGGACATGAGGGCAGAGCAAGCTGGACATACAGGATGTGGGAAAGCAGGTTTCTTTCTAAGCTTCAACCTTGGAAAACCAAGAAGATGAATAGAATAGTGGAGATCAGCCTGATTCAAGTTGACAAGGTAGTTCTCTGGACTAGGAATAAAGAAGAAAGGGATGAAGTTTGCTCTTGGGGTAAGGTGAATCTTTGGAATGCACCAAGGGTCGAGATTATTCAATGGTATCAACAGGCTCACTAAGGGATGTGAAAATCCAGTGTCGATATTCCTGTATTGGGGAGGGAACTTGCTTTATGTGGAATTATTATGTGTTCAAGGTCATTGGAGATGAATGAGGAGGCTGAGTGGATGTATTTAAGCTACAGGTTGATTTGGAATGCAGCAGGAACAAAGGCGGGTACTTCATGAAGATCTCAAAGATTAAGAATGGAGGAATAAGAAACAGTCATTCCGGGCGAGTTTGGTTGTCAAGGGTGGGAGAAGTTTAGAGGATGTCTTGAGAGTTTCTTCAATAGGAGCAGTCATCAGGAACGGGAAACAGTAGGAGTTGGTCCGAGTAAGGGAAGTTCTTCTGAAGGAAAGAATGCAGAAGTGGTGAAATCCTGGAAAACAGCAGTGTGGATGCTGAGTGGAAGCTGATTAAGAATCTAATTGGTTGTAGACTGTCGAGGGTGGTGGAGGTGGTTCCTGTGGCAGCAGAAAGAGCGATTGTTTGGTGTAGGGATGGAGCCATGGTCAATTTTTTCTCATTGGGAGCATGTCAAAATTGAGGCTAGGAACAGTTGGATTGGGATTGAAGGATTGCCCCTGAATCTATGGAATGCTCATGCTTTCAAGATTATAGGTGAAGCTTGTGGAGGATTAATAGAGGTAGCCAAAGATACTTTGGGCTGTTCGTTCTTGGTGTTGGCAAAAATCAAGGTCAAAGGTCTTTTGGAAGTCCCATGCCAAGGCGAGAGGATTTATCTGGGTTTATTTAGCCTGGAGAATAAATAATCAACATCATTACATCGGAAAAACATGGGGCTTGTTGTTCACAAGTGTTGAAGGTTACAAACAAACAGGGGAGAGGAGACTCTAAAGTACGTGGGGATGAAGAATTCGGAATTAGACACGTCCAACGTGGCAGAATTCTCGGCGAGAAAGCAATATCAGGTTAGACTGTGTAGGAAGCCCCGTCGTTCAACAACTTTCGGCCTGACGGAGGAGATGGTGGAAGCGGGGATGGAGTTGAAAAGTCGGGAGTTGTCGTCGACATGGGTCCCACGTGGCATGCATATCAATGGGAAGGTTTCATGTGCCCCCGTGAATTCGACCCACGTGGCCTCTTCTTCATTGCAGCCACCGCTTTCAAGAGATTTGGGAGATCTGAGGGAATCAGTAGTGGAAGCGACGGTTCTCGTTTCTGAAGCCAAGCAGTTACACCTGCCGCCTAAAAAGAGGGAATTAATTCTCTCTAATTATTTTGAGGTTTTGGGGGAGGCTGAGAGTATGGAAGAGAATCAGGATACAACAAGTAATCAAGCCCAATCCGATTTAGGGCCCAATACAGATGGGCAGGGAGAAGGTAATTTGGAGTTCGATCACTCTAGAGTGGGGCCTAGCAAGGCAAATTCAAAACCGATTAAGGGGCCAATCACAAATAGTAGGAAATAGGCCAATATGAAAAGCTTAAGAAAGTATATAGGCCAACTTTTAGTTATAGAAATTAATAGGCCATAACTTGTCAAGTTATGGTTCATAACCAGATAAGTTATGGACAAACTTGTCAAGTTATGGTTCATAGCCATACAAGTTATGGACAAAAACCAGGAATAACTTGTCAAGTTATGGTTCATAACCAGACAAGTTATGGACAAAAACAGTAATTTGGCCTATTTATTAATTTATGTAAACTATTGGCCTATTAATTTTAATTGATCTCAAGTCTTGGCTTATTTCCCTCTTTCTCCCAAGGTTAGTCGGTGGAGGCCTAAAAATAGAGATGAATTTGTTAGGGCTAACATCAAAAAGTGGGATGACGAGTTTTAAAGGAAAAACTCAAAAAAGCCAGTCCTACGATATTCTAGTGACGGAGAGATGGAGAATTGACGAATTAAGCTATACCCACTTTTTTATACAAGATTGAGAAAAAACAAAAAGGGCAAAGAAGCTTTTATTGTTTATGAGGCTGGAACAGAACCAGAGTTCACACCAGAAGGACAGGAAGTTCCAAATTTTGGAGGGTGTGAATCCGAGGAAGAGAGTAGTTCGCGCTCAGTTTCTTCTTTCTGCTCGACAAAGGAGAACGAGGGTTTGGATTATCAGGAAGGATTCGTGGGATTAGAAGACTTGAGATTTCTTTTTGCACAACATCCTGGTGTGCTCTATGTGGAAATAATGATGAGACCTTGGACCATCTGCTGCTTCATTGCCCGGTGGCTGTTTCTGTTTGGCTGAAGTTATTGTTGGAAGCGGCTTTTTACTGGGTTGCTCCAGCAAGTTGTAGTTCGGTGTTGAAGGAACGCATGGCGGGCTTAGGTTTGAACAAGATGGCCAAAACGGTGTGGAAAAGCTTGGTGTTATCAGCTGTGGTCCCTTTGGATGGAGATAAATGGCAGGATTTTTGAGAAGGAATCGGACATTTCAGACATTTTTTAGAAAGCTAAATTTGTGGCCTCTTTATGATCTCACAAAGTCTTTTAAGGGTTTTCCATTTTCTTTGGTAGTTCTAAATTGGAAAGATGTTATAGGAAACTGATTTGAAGGTTTTTGATGGCTTCTTGTAGTTTCCATTTGCTGTTTTTATTGTTTTCTTTAGGAGGACACCTTATCCTTTTTTCCTGTAATTGATTTTCTCAATAAAGGAGTTTTCCTTATAAAAAAATTGATTGAATTATCAATGGAAGGTTTTTTCCTTACTAAAAAAAGAAAAAAAAAGATTTGCATGATATGTACATTGTTTGATATGATCTCTTTTATTCAGAAATTATTTATTCAGCTCTCCTCCTTTTTCTGATTTTTTAATTATTTTTATCACATTGTCACATGAGAAAAAAAGAACAAGAAAATTAACTACTTATGACCTAGTGACATATAATCATTTTACATATTCCTGATCACAACTGCAAGGGATGCATAGAAATTGGCCTGATGTGGAAGTACTGCAAAATTAGATTATTCTGTATATGCTCTAGTTTCCGATATTCTTTTCACTAATAGCTTGTTGTGACAGGAAACTCCGGATGTTGTTGGTGGTGCGGAAGGTGGCATTAGTGATGAATCAGAAAGTGATTCAAGGGAGGATATTGAAGATAATGCTGAGGAGAAACCTGTTTCAACGGTTGTAGCGTCACTGCAGTTGTACAGAGAAGCTTTAGCCAGTAGTGATGAATCTAAATTAGCTGAAATAGAATCTTTTTTAAAATCATTTGAAGATGAAAAAATATGCCTTGAAAGGAAACTGGCATCTTTGTCTGAAGAATTGTTGATAGAAAAAGATCGGATTTTAAGGATAAGTGCAGATTTTGACAACTTTAGGAAGAGGACAGAAAGGGAACGCTCTTCGCTGGTAACAAATGGTAAAGGGGAAGTTGTTGAGAATTTGTTGCCTGTACTGGATAATTTTGAGAGAGCTAAAGCACAGATTAAGGTGGAGACAGGAGGGGAGGAGAAGATCAACATTAGCTATCAGAGCATATACAAACAGTTAGTTGAGATTTTAACTTCTCTTGGTGTAGTGCCTGTGGAGACAGTTGGGAACCCCTTTGATCCCTTGGTAAGTCATTTAACTTCTATGACACTATCACATGTCAAATACTTTAACTTCGCTACAGTGCCTTTCTGTAATGTAAGAATCCATATAGGAACGAAAGAATCAGTGTGTAGGAAAAATATAGCAGTAGTGATCTAAATTATGAAGGATCAGTAGTTCCATGCAAAAGTACACGCTTACCGAGGGAACTTACGTTGGACAACATTTGCTAAACAATCTCTACACAATGAACATGATTGACGATTAATGCGTACTACTATGGCAACTCTTGCCTGTGTCAACTTAGAGAATGACTTTCCTATCTAACAATTGGCTATTATGCAGGTAAGAAACCAAGTTGGCTTGAAATACAATCCTTGATCAACTTATACGAGTAGTTAAGGAAATAGGTTTCATGCAGGCCTGGAAAGTTTTAATTCAAAGGTACTTTTGATTGATTTGAGCCAACTTGGTGACATTCTGCAAGTGAAACTTTAAATGACCAGTTTTAGGGTTGCAGTAATACACCTAATTATATAGCGTTAAGTTGGTAGTAGACAGTGTAGACAACTAAACGGAAAGAGTTTTAGTAGCCGGTGTAGACAATGAAACTCCTCTGGTGTTGCCTTACGTTCCTGATAAGCAGTCTGATTTCTTTAATCATTTGGGATTTCGGCAATCTCTAAATATCCAAATTTTTGTTTCCTTGTGAAAAGCTGCATGAAGCAATTATGCGGGAGGACTCGATGGAATTTGAAGAACGGATCATTATTCAAGAATTTCGCAAGGGGTTTAAGCTCGGTGATATACTGTTGCGTCCTTCAATGGTTAAAGTATCGGCTGGTCCAGGGCCTGCAAAGCCGGAGCAAGCACTGCAAGAAGAGGACCAAGATGTGAGTGACACCACCAAGCAGTGCATCCCAGAAGCAGAAGCAGAAGCAGAATCAGCTTGAAGGTAGAAAATATTTAATGCAGATCCAGTTTTGTAAGAGTTGTCGTTTATTTGTTGAACTGCTAGTAGAGTTCACAATTTTTGTGGGGTGTAATTGTAGCTGGTGGACATGTTCATGGAGAAGTTTATACAATTTTGAGCCTCTAGGATTCTTCTTTGAAGAAAGGGAACTTTTCATTAATTTGCAATTGTCTACAAATATGTCCTCACGCTTGTACAATAATTCTATTGGATTGCTATTTTGTTTAAGGTCTCTTACAGGTAGTAATGAGGATCTAACATGTAATGCTGGTATGTTAATAACACCACCACCACCACCACCACCTCCTGCGTCAAACCTCCTCTCACGATAAGGTTGTTGGGTGGCAGTTGCACCAGCCACCGGCACCAACCCTGACCATATTAATTGAATATAAAACGATTATATTCATAAATATTGTACCCTTTTTCAAAATGTCATGAATTTTTAAAACCGTTCAAAACACCATCCGATCTATAAAAAACAATTCAAAATGCCTCCTCCGTCTTTTTCCGTCTATAATTCTAACGATTTTATTGATGTGGCAGTTATTAAGTATATTAAAAATGTATTAACTTCATAAATACTCTGAACTATGTACCATTTTTTAAAATGCCCCCATGAACTTTTAAAACCGTTCCAAACACCCACGATCTATAAAAATCCATTTAAAATGTCCATTCACCTTTCTCCCTCTATAATTCTGACGATTTTGCTGATTTAAAAAAAGTATTTATAATATAAATTGGTTTTATGAAATTTTATTAATAAAACTACAAATTATTCCATGTAATACCAATTAAATAATATGGGTGAAGCGAGAAAATAAGTGCAACAATCGGTTTCTCCACCTTGGCAATGGTTATTATTTAAGCTCTTGTTAAGGTTGGCCTTATTTATTTATAACCAATTATATTACACGCTCCCGAATTTCATATTTGAGAATCTCACTGAATAGAATCAAAATAATATGGGTGAAGCGAGAAAATAAGTTAAAAAAACTCAATTTCTTCATCTTTGGCTATAGTTATTATTTAAGCTCTAGTTAAGCTTACTCTTATTTATTTATCAGCAATTATTTTGCACGATCTGACCCTTCATATGTGTGAATTCCACTAATTAGGCACGATTAACTTTAGAAAATATTTTAGATGCGAGAAAACAAGTTAAAACACTCGGTCTCTCCATCTTTAGCTATTGTTATTATTTTAAAACTAGTTAAGCCTAGCCTTATTTATATATAACCAATTGTTTTGAACGCTCGGGGCTGTCCACGGGCTGTACCGGGGTTGTCTCGGGGCCTCCTCGGGGCTGTCCCGGGGCTGTCCCGGGACAGTCCCGGGGCTGTACCGGGGATGTCCAGGGGCTGCCCCGG